GCCTGGTGAGCAGCGACCACGAGGCTGTGAACGGTGTCTTGCATTTCATCGACCGTGTCCTGCTGCCACCTGAAGCGCTGCACTGGGAGCCTGACGCTGCCCCGATTCCGCAGGTATGACCTGGGTGCGGGCGGGGAGCTGGAAGGCAGGCGCCCAGGGGCCTGGGATCCTCCCTCCCCTCCTGACCTCACTGTTCACTGAGCGCCTGTCCCCAGAGAAACTTCACCGCCGCTGCGGAGAGCTTCGGTTACAAGATCTTCAGTGGCCTTGTGACGGTACTGCTCCTGTGTGTGAGCCTTTCAGTGTGTGTATATGTGCACGTTTAAGTGTGTATATGCGGGCGACTGTCAACGTGTGCGCTCACCTTTCTGTGCACAGGGACATATTTGTGGGCATGAGCGTCCCAGGGAGCACAAGGGTGTGCTTATTTGTGCCCACATACTTGACAACTTGTATGTATTGTCCATGTCTATTGGCCTGGGATGGCTACAGAGGCATGTGGCTGGTGGGAAGGTCACCTGGGTCCCTGGAGCCCCTCCATCTGCCCACCATCCTCTGACGGGACTGTCACACCTCTATCCTACCAGATGGCTGGCCTGCTGCCCCTGCTTCGAGATTCATTCCATAGGCCCTTCACAATGCTGTGGCCCACAGACTCCGCCCTGCAAGCCTTGCCTCCCGATCGCCAGGTCTGGCTATACCATAAAGACCACCGTGACAAGCTGGCAGCTATTGTGCGGGGCCACGTGATCCGCAACGTCGAGGTGGGTGCACTCCCAGACCTTGGTCCCCACTGCCTGCCACTGAGCCTGCCCTCCCAGCTCCAACTGTGCTCCATCTGCTCAGGCCTTGGCATCTGACCTGCCCAACCTGGGCCCACTGCGCACCATGCATGGGACCCCCATCTCCTTCTCCTGCAGCCGTGCCCGGCCGGTGAGTCTGGGGAGGAAGCTTGAACGAGGGAAGCAGGAGGCAGGGGCGGGGTGCTGCAGTACACCTGTGATCCACCACGTACTCCACATCTTCCGCCTGCAGGGTGAGCTCACGGTGGGAGAGGAGGACGCCCGGATTGTGCAGCGACACCTGCCCTTTGAGGGGGGCCTGGCTTACGGCATCGACCAGCTGCTGGAGCCACCTGGCCTTGGTGCCCGGTGTGACCGCTTTGAGACTCGGCCTCTGTGGCTGGTGAGGGAGGCCACAGGCCAGAGGTGGATGGATAGGCAGGGGCCTAAGCCCACCTGTCCTGTCCACTCACTTGAGCTTGCTTTGTTGGTCTCCCTTCCTTGCAGAAGGTTTGCAGCGTTTGTGGGCTGGAACCACCCTGTCCTGAGGGCTCACAGGAGCAGGTAAGGGGCTGGGAGCCAGGTGGGGGTGGGGGAAGGGCCCAGGGCCTACCAAGCTCAGGTTTGCAGCCCGATTCCTCTTGGCCCAGGGCAGCCCTGAGGGCTGCTGGCGCTACTTCTCAAAGTTCTGGACGTCTCCTCCGCTGCACTCCCTGGCACTGCGCAGTGTTTGGGCCCGGCCCAGCCACTGGGGTCAGCCCCAAGGCCTGGGCAGGGGCTGCTACCGCAACTGTGTCACCACCACCTGGAAGCCCAGCTGCTGCCCTGGTCACTATGGCAGTGAGTGCCGAGGTGAGTGTCCTGAGGCTGTGGAGGCTGCTGGCTGGCTTCTCCAGCTCCCAAGGTGGCCAAGGGTGTAGTTCTGGCCGTTGTGCCTCAGAAAGGGTGTCAGGGTGGTCAGGGGCTGGGGGCGGGGAGTGGATCTTACCAGGTGAGAACGCTCTAAGAGCTGGGGTGGGTGTGTAGATGGTACAGGACCTGGTGGGGTGTGTTGGGGGTCCGGGTGTTCTCCAGGGCGTGGGGAGTTGGGTGGATTGCTGCTTCTGCAAGAGCCTCTGCTGCTGCTGGGTGGCAGACGGACTGTGTGGCTAGGCTGGGGATGCGTGTCTGGGCTCCTGATGAGCGTCCCTGGCCCCACCTCTCTTCTCCCACCCTAACCCCTAGCTTGCCCTGGGGGTGCCAGCAGCCCCTGTAATGGCCATGGCACGTGCATGGACGGCATGAGCGGCAGCGGGAACTGTAGGTGCCATTCGAGGTTTGCTGGGATGGCATGTGAACTCTGTGCCCCAGGTGCCTTTGGGCCCCTTTGCCAAGGTAGGCTGTCCTGCCCGACCCTGCCCTATCCTGCTCCCTAATCCACATGGCCCATGTGCCGCCACCATCCTGCCTGTCCCTCTCCCCAGCCTGCAACTGTACCTCCCATGGCCACTGCGATGAGGGCCTGGGGGGCTCTGGCTCCTGCTTCTGTGATGAGGGCTGGACTGGGCCACACTGTGAGGTGCAGCTGGGTGAGTGGGCCCTGTGCTTGTGCCGACCCTGCACACTTGTATACCTGCACACACCAGTGCATGCCCCAACTGCACAGTGAGGTGGAAGGGGGTCTAGGAGGGCAGCCACTAACCTGGATGTGTGGGGTGGGCCCTGGGGGACAGAGCTGCAGCCTGTGTGTGCTCCACCTTGCGCATCCCAGGCCGTGTGCCGCGCTGGCCACAGCTGTGAGTGCAGCCTGGGCTACGAAGGGGATGGCCGCACGTGCACAGGTGAGCAGGAATGTGAGGTGGGAGGCCCCACTCCCCTCCCCTCCTGTCGCCTGGTCCAACCACTCTCTCGCTGCCTCCAGTGGTAGACCTGTGCCAGCATGGGCGTGGCGGGTGCAGCGAGCATGCCAACTGCAGCCAGGTAGGCACAGTGGTCACCTGCACCTGCCTGCCCGACTACGAGGGTGATGGCTGGAGCTGCCGGGCCCGCAACCCCTGTGAGGATGGCCACCGCGGGGGCTGCAGCGAGCACGCTGACTGCCTGAGCACTGGACCGGTGAGCAGGCGGGCACAGCCAAGCAGCTGGGCGGGGGCCCCCCGATGAGCGGCTGCCCCAGTCCCTGAAGGGCGCCCACCTGCTCTGCTGTCCAGAACACACGGCGCTGCGCGTGCCACGCCGGCTACGTGGGTGATGGAGTGCAGTGTCTGGAGGAGCCTGAGCCGCCCGTGGACCGCTGCCTGGACCAGCCACCACCCTGTCACGTGGACGCTGTGTGCACTGACCTGCACTTCCAGGGTGTGCTTCCCTGCCCTCTCCCAGCACCCCGGCTTTACCTCGGTGCTGGCCCTCTGACCATGCATCCCTGCCTTCCACAGAAAAACGAGCTGGTGTCTTCCACCTCCAGGCCCCCAGTGGCTCCTACAGCCTGAATTTCTCACAGGCCGAGGCAGCCTGTGGGGCCCAAGGAGCTGTGCTTGCTTCTCTCCCTCAGCTCTCTGCTGCCCAGCAGGTGCGCGGGGCCCAGGAGTCTGGAGCCAAGCCTGTGGGGGCCCCTTGAGTTGGGTCTTGGGTCTCAGCATCTGTTTGTACCCCTACAGCTGGGCTTCCACCTCTGCCTTGTGGGCTGGCTGGCCAATGGCTCGGCTGCCCATCCCGTCGTTTTCCCGGCAGCAGACTGTGGCGATGGTCAGGTGGGCGTGGTCAGTCTGGGTGCCCGGGAGAACCTGTCGGAGTGCTGGGACGCCTACTGCTACCGCATGCAAGGTACAGCCACCCACCACACCCCATTCTCTGCCCTGCCTTTTCCCACTGACCCACTAACTCACTGCCTTTCCTGCAGACGTGGCCTGCCGATGCCGCGATGGCTTCGTGGGTGATGGGGCCAGCGTGTGCAATGGGAAGCTGCTTGATGTACTGGCCACCACTGCCAACTTCTCCACCTTCTACGGGGTGTGCAGGGGCCCAGGCTCAGGACCGGGGGGTGGTACAGCTGGGATCCCTGTGGAGAGAGCCTACCCACAACCTTGTCCCCACCATCCCAGATGCTACTGGGTTATGCCAATGCCACCCCGAGGGGTCTCGACTTCCTGGACTTCCTGGACGACGAGCTCACCTACAAGACACTCTTCGTCCCTGTCAACGAAGGCTTTATGGACAACCTGGTAAGTAGCAGGGGATGTGGGGAGAGCAGGGCCCAACTCTGCTCCCTCTAGCTGGCCCAGGCCAACAGGCCCTGCTTTGCCCACAGACACTGAGCGGCCCAGACCTGGAGCTACACGCCTCCAATACCACCTTCCTGAGCACCAACGCCAGCCAGGGTACCTTGCTTCCCGCCCACTCAGGCCTCAGCCTCATCATCAGTGACATGGGCCCTGACAACAGTTCTCAGGCCCCTGTGGTGAGTCTGGAGGCTGCCCCTCCCCTACTGGCCCCAGCCCTCACTCACCCACTGGGCCTGACCTGGTCTCCCTACAGGTCCCAGGAGCAGTTGTGGTTAGCCACGTCATTGTGTGGGACATCGTGGCCTTCAACGGCATCATCCACACTCTGGCCAGCCCCCTCCTGGCACCCCCACAGCCTGTGAGTTGGCCAGGGGTGGGCAAGGGGTGAGGAGACCGCTCTGGCCAGGTCTCTTGATGCTCTCCTCGTTGGCAGCGGGCAGTGTTGGTCCCGGAGGCCCCACCTGTGGCAGCAGGCGCGGGGGCTGTGGTAGCTGCTGGAGCGCTCCTTGGCCTTGCGGCCGGAGCCCTCTACCTTCGTGCCCGAAGCAGGTCCGCAGGCTTTGGCTTCTCTGCCTTCCAGGTAGGCTGGGCTGGAGACTGATGGGGTTGGTGGGGTCTGGGCCCACCGAGCTTGCTTGAGGCCTCTCACTACTCACCTCCCTTCCCAGGCGGAAGATGATGCTGCTGATGACTTCTCCCCATGGCAGGAAGGGACGAGCCCAACCCTGGTCTCTGTCCCCAACCCGGTCTTTGGTAGCCATGATGCCTTTTGTGAGCCCTTTGACGTGAGTGCGGGGGCTGGGGGCTTGGGAAAGGGGACCCAGGGCCTGGTCTCAGTCCAGCCACTAACAAACATACAGTCCTCCCCTCAGGACGCGCTCCTGGAGGACGACTTCCCTGACACCCAGAGGATCCTCGAGGTCAAGTGACGCAGCCGGTGCTGAAGCAGAGGCACGAGCAGGAGGGAGGCGGCTTTTATTGCCCAGAGTGGGTGGGGACAGCAGGGGCTGGGCCTGGTCCACACAATAAAGGTACCCTCAGCGGATGTGGGCCATGTCGCCAAGGAAGGGTGTCTTCATGCATCCGGTGCAGAGCTGATCCATCCAGAGCGGTGCCTCGTGCTGCAGGGGCGTGCGGCGCGGGTAGAAGGTGAAGTCCACGCGGTAGTTGAGCAGACAGCTGAGGGAGGCCATGTAGAGGTCGGAGAAGCGCACCAGGCGCCGCGAGAAGTAGGTGGGGTTGTGGAAGGTGCGAAAGATGCTCCCGAACTGCGCATTGAACAGGGCCTTGGTGATGCACCTGGGGAGGGAGATGTGGGCACTCGTGGGGGTGCTCCTGAGGGGGCTGGGCTGGGGCTCCTGCCCAGGCCCCACCACTCACCTCAGCTCCTGCCGCTCCTTCATCCAGGCGGCCAGCACCTGCCGAGACTCGGCATCCTGGTAGGTCTGGGGGAGACAAGGGGTGCTCTGGGTGTGTGCGGCCAGGCAGCGGCCCCCCACCTCCCTGCAGACGTCCAGCTGCCCCCGCACCTGCATACGCTCCAGTAGCCCCGTGAGTGCCTGCTGCCACGTCAGCGAGTGCATGTACTGCTCCGTGTTGATGATGCGGATCTCTCGCTCCAGCTCAGGGATAATGGCACCTGTGCGCCAGCCGTGACGCAGCATGAGATCCTGGGGGGCAGGGTGCAGGGTAAGCAGGGCTCAGTGCCGGCCAGGAGGTCCCCCTCCCCTCCCCACTGCGACCCATCCCCGCCTCCCGCCCTCACCGCCAGGTCACTGTAGAGGTGGTCTCCGAAGTAGAGCACACGGGGGCCTCGCCATTCCGTCAGACGCAGGAAGTCAAACAGGTTTCCCTGGGAAGAGATTGGGGGTGGGCGGGGGAGACCGGGCTAAGCCCAGTGTGCCGAAGGGGCTCCCCCAGGGTAATTCTCCACCAGTCTTCCCAAATCCCTAATCCCCAGAGGCAGCAAGGCCCCTCTAGCCGGATGCTGGGCTGCCCTTTCCCGTGGCCTCGCTGTCCCCTCCAGGCTCCGGAAGGGGGTCTGCCTGGGGCAGGAAGGTCTCCTATAGGCCTGGCCCTCCCCTCCCCGTGCCCTCACACCCACCCAAGCTAGGAATTGAGTTCACTCTTTGTGGGAAACAAACTGCAGCAGTGACCCCATGGCCCTGAAGCAAGCAGGCCACCTCAGCCTGAGCCCAGAGGGACCCAGCAGACCAATGGCAGTCCTCACTGTGAGGCCGCCTGCCCCTCCTGCGCCAAAGCTGGAGAGATGAAAACAGCCAGGCTCAAGCACAGCAGAGGAAGCTGGCAGGGGAGCAGAAACCGGGGCAGGGGTGGCGGGGGGGCACAGAGCAGGAGGTACAGCAGCCTCCACAGGGCAGGCACCCACAGCCCAGAAGTGAGAATATACACCCAGCAAAAAGGAGTTACTAGAGGCAGTCTGCGGGCATGAGAGGCCTGGGGAGGTGACAGCCGTGGGGGAAACAGGTAGCTGTGAAGGGCTTAATGGTTGAAATAAGCTCAAGCAGAGGAGGTGAGGAGCAGGAGGGAAGTACGAGCGGGCGGGGCGCTGAGGACGTGCCAAGACGACGAGAACCACGCACACAATGAAATTTCAGAACACCAGGCATACAGAAGTCTAAAGCCTGCCAGAGAAGAAAAATCAGTTCCCCACAAAGACGTGTGACCCTCCTCAGGCTCAGCCAGGATGCCAAGACAACAGGGAGCATCAGCCTCAGAGCCGAGGGGTAAAGCTGGTGCCCAAGGGGGCCACCGACAGTTGGGGGCCAGCAGGGTGGAAGGCCGAGCGGTTGGCAGGGGTGAAGGGCTGGGACCTTGGCACTGGGCGGCCCGAGGCTGCTCCCTGTGGCTGTCACTGGCCCGACTGCTGGCTTCTTCCCTGCCCCCAGCTTCTGGACCCTCCATCTCCAAGAAGCCCAGCTCAGCCAGGATTTCCGCATTCCACCCAGAGCCAAGTGCCTTAATCACCTCCTGCTCACAGCCACCTGACACTTCCCCACCAAGCACAAGGCCCTTCTCACCCTCCTAGCCAGCCAGAAAAGGGGTCTCCTCCGAGGCCTGTGCCAGCGCCCCCACCAGCCCAACGCAGGGGCCCCAACCAGGCTCATCTGGCTGCAGCGGAGTGCTCAGCCCGAGGCAAAAGCAGGGCCATTTACTGGGCACTTGGCGAATGCCCCAACAACCTAAGAGCTTTACACCACCACTCAAGTAGAGTATTATACCTCTTTTACAGACGAGGAAAGCACAGCACAGAGAGGCCAAGCAATTGGGCCAGGCCCTGGGAGCCACTTCCTGTGAGGGGACAGAGCCACAACAGAGGTGTGGTGGCTGGTCAGGGCCCAAGAGGCCGTGCGGCAGCCCCGCCACAGCCTGGGGCCGTGGCTGGGCCCTGGGGTCCCTACCAGGTACAACTCCCACCTAGATGGCTCTCACCTGACGATAGATCTTGCCCTTTTCCAGGCGGGTGATACGGTCCCAATGCAGTGAGCCCTTCTCATCAAGTTTTCTGAAAGGCCTAGGGTGGGTTGAAAGGCCTAGGGTGGGGTTAAAGGGCCTGATTTCCAGTCTGTGGCAGGACCACAGGCTGGACACCTCCCACTCTGCAAAGGCCCACCTGCTCACCTGCCCATCAGCAAGGGGGTGCCCCCACCCCAGGCACACAGGGCGGCAAGCAGAGGCCAGTCCCCACTCCCTGGGCCCATCGCCCCTGCCAGGCCCATACTTGCGCCGGTCGGTGAAGAAGCTGGGCTTGTCTGCCTGGACGATGACCACGTCGAAGAGTTGGCGCCAGTTGGCACCCACCATGTGCCGCATCCCCTTGTCCCTGGTGGGACAGAGTGGGACAGGTGGCAGGTGTCTAAGGGAGGCTCCAGGCCTGCCCACCCCAACTCAGGCCCCTGCCCTGCTCCCTCCTCCCACGGGTTGGGGGACACGGGGGTGCTCACACGAAGCTGAAAGGACTGTTGGTGATGAGGAACAGCTGTTTCCCGTGCGCCACCAGGCGGCTCAGAACGGCGAATGTCTCATCCCCTCGCAGGATGTACTTCTCTAATGGGGGGAGGTGGGAGCTTGTGAGGGCCAGCCCTGCACCCTGCCCGGACAGGCCGCAGCAGGGCAACCATCCCCCCTTACCCATGTCCCGCTCGATCCACTGGTACATAAGGCCCTTCACGTGCACATCTCGAATGGCGTCCTGGGGGCAGTGGAGGGACAGTGAGGCCACAGTGGAGCCCACGAGGACCTGCCCTGCTGTGGCTGGACTTCACCTTCCCTGCCACACTGGGAGGCAGGCCTAGCGCCCTCACCGTCACATCCTTATAGAGGTGTGCTTGGTCAAACTCCAGGCCATGGCCCAGGAAGTGGTCCACCACGCAGGAGAGCAGTGCCATCTCTGGCAGCGAGAAGATGTCCATGAACTGCTTGATGGAAGGACCCTGAGGAAGGACCACTGACTCAGCAAGCCCCAGCTCCGGAGACCCAAGAGCTCCAAATATGTCTTGGGACACTGGTGGAGGGGCACAGCCTGTGGGTCAGGGCTGGCGCACCAGGGTGTGGGCACTGCCTCCCAGGGAGCCAGCACCCGCTGTGAGGTCATGGAGCTGGCTGCCCTGGGCAGTGGCAGACGGAGCGAGTACCTTGCCATAGAAGCCACTCATCTGGTACAGTGGGATGTGCTGGGTGCCCCCATATAGGTCGATCACCTCTTCGTCTGGTACAGGCTGAAGGCCCCTGGGTGGATGCAGAGATCACCAGTCCGAAGTGGTCCTGAACCCGGGCCACGGTGTAGGGTGGGGGACGGTGGGGTGATGCAGGACAGTGTGGACCTGGAGCAGCAGGCTGGGGTGCGGTCAGGGCAAGGTTAGCACTGACCTGTAGGCTGTCCCCAGTTGCACATAATGGAAGGCGTCAATCTTCATCAGAAGACTCTGAGGGCACCAAGGGAGTAAGATGGGCAATGAAGGAGTTTGCCATTAGCTCTGAGCCAGCCTTTGCTAGCCCCCATGCCGAAGCCCCAGTTGGATGGTACCAAGGGTATCATGTGCACGCCAAGAGGAAGCTACAGCTTTGAGGCCAAGGGAGTAGAAAGATGAGCACCGCCCCCGCCCGCGTAGGAGACGGGCAGCTAAGGAAGTAGTTCTGATATACATCCAGTCAGGAGGGGCCAGGGAGTCAGTGGTCTAGCCACTCACCTTCTGAATATCATAGTGGAGGCCACGGATGGCAAAGCTGGGGTTGTAGTCATACTTTCGAATCCCCTCCGGGTACTGTCAGGGGAAATCAGGTCAGGCCTGAGCCAGCAGTACTGACAGACCTGCTGGCTGGGCAGCTGCCTCAGGGGATCAATTCAGCCACCCATCCAGGGGCGCCCCATGATCCGGCCTGGGACCCCTACCTGTCTGGCCTCACCTTGTAGTGCTCAATCAGGATGTCACGGGCGGCAGTGAAGATCTCTGGGTGCAGCGTGTCTGCATACTGGGCCAGGGTGTAGTCATAGTCGAAGCCGTAGACCTCGACATCACGCAGGCTGATCTCGTTGTTGGCATAGATGGCCGCTGGGTTCAGGAGACTGCAGACCTCAGGAGGCAGGAGGTCTAGAGGAAGGAGGTATAAGTATAATGAGGATGATCAGGAAACACCCTAAAATGGTACTCTTAACTCAATGCAGCATTAGGTCAAACTGAGGCTCAGTGAAAAGTCACTCGCCCAGGGTCACATGGGTGGGGTAAGGACCCTATGGGTCCTGGATTATACCACCGCCTGCAGCCTACCAGTTGCTCTGAGCCATGCCTCCTCCAGACTCTCATAAGCCCCATGGGACACCTGGCTATGCTCTGACACTTTCCACCTTGCCTGAAGCTGGGGTTGGGACTTAGGAACATTATCAAGGTGAGGGGTACTGGGTAGCTCCGCTGCTGCTCAGGGCCCCAGCCACAGGTCTCACAGTGAGGCCCCTCTAATCAGATTTCAGCTGCCCACCAGTCCACGTAATGACATTCACTGCCCCTGGGACCAAGCAGGACCCTGTGGGGCTCCTGGGTACAGAAGCCTTTCTGTCCCCCACTCCAGCCTCCATGACCTTCCCTGGGTTCCAAAGGGCAGATTTGAACAGCTGCTAGTAGGGAAGGGAAAGGATGGGGAGACAAGGGAGGAGCAGCCAAGAAACAACCTGAGGCAAGATTTGAGGAACCAGAGAAGCTCATCAAGATTAGGAGACCAGGGCTTCCCTGGTGGCACAGTGGTTAAGAATTCGCCTGCCGATGCAGGGGACATGGATTCATGCCCTGGTCCGGGAAGATCCCACATGCCGCGGAGCAGCTGGGCCCGTGAGCCATGGCTGCTGGGCCTGCGCGTCCGGAGCCTGTGCTCCGCAATGGGAGAGGCCACAACAGTGAGAGGCCCGCGTACCGCAAAAAAAAAAAAAACCTGCCTCTTGGGACTTCCCTGGTGGTGCAGTGGTTAAGAATCCACCCGCCAATGCAGGAGACACGACTTCGATCCCTGGTCTGGGAAGATCCCACATGCCACGGAGCAACTAAGCCCATGCACCACAACTACTGAAGCCTGCGTGCCTGGAGCCCTTGCTCCACAAGAGAAGCCACCACAATGAGAAGCCCAGCGCACTGCAACAAAGAGTAGCCCCCCTGCTCACCACGACTAGAGAAAGCCCGCGCACAGTAACGAAGATCCAACGCAGCCAAAAAAAAAAAAAAAAAAGAATCTGCCTGCCAATGCAGGGGATACGGGTTTGAGCCCTGGTCCGGGAAGATCCCACATGCCATGGAGCAACTAAGCCCGTGCGCCACAACTACTGAAGCCCACGTGCCTAGAGCCTGTGCTCCACAACAAGAGAAGCCACTGCAATGAGAAGCCTGCGCACCACAACGAAGAGTAGCCCCAGCTCGACGCAACTAAAGAAAGCCCACGCGCAGCAATGAAGACCCAGTGCAGCCCAAAATAAATAAATTAAAAAAAGAAAAAAAAAAGATTAGGAGACCACAAGATTAAAGGAGTGCAGACCCTGCACACACCCTAATCTTATCAGCAACTCCACCCTTGAACGACTGCTATAAAAACTCCTCACCAATTCCTCCCCGGTTGGCAGACAGTTTTTGGGCGCAGGAGCCTGTCCCCCTTTGCCTGCCAAAGCAATAAAGCTATTCTCTTCTACTTCACCCAAAACTCTGTCTCCAAGATTCGATTTGGCACTGGTGCAGGGAGGCTGAGTTTTTAGCATCAAATTTGGCACCCAACATGGGGCTGACTCGTGGGCAGTCCTGGGGCGGGTGCGGGGGGCGGGGGTGGTTCCCTGGCTTGACTGGATGCTCCAAGATTTTCTCCATGCCAGCCTCATTCAAGAGTGGAGGGCTGAAGAATTCCTTTAGAGACCAGATCACCTGGGACCCTTGTCTGGGAAGGCTGAGCCCCAGTCATACCCCATCGGCCATCCTGGCAGCTGGAACTCCGAGGCGGGACGAGACAGTGGAAGAGTGGTCCTGCTAGGGACCACCCTAGCAGCTGCCCAGCTGCCGAGGTCATCTTTGCCTTGAGGATGTTCCTCTCTTCCTCCTGCCTGGACCACCCTGGACTTCCTACTCCAAGGAATTATTTTGAGGAAGCATAAAAGTAGCATTTGGGATGTCACAACACCTCGGCTAGCATTTGGGGAAGTCCCCCAGCGTGTACTCTGTGGCCACTTTGACCCTGTCCGTTTGGGGGAACCTTGGTTCCCATTTGGGGGATTCTCCATTCCAGGAAATCCCATTTGAGAGGCGTGCCACTTGGGCAGAGATGGGCTAAGTGGGACTTGGAAGCCCATTTCGTTTTGGTTTCTGTTTGGGTTTTTGGTTTCTTTGGTTTGAGGCTTCTGTTGCTGGCTAGGATTTTGGTTTGTTCTTGGTCTGAGCGTGAGTGTTCTTTCAATCAAACATGGGAAGTGCTTCTTCTTCGAGTCCATCTGATAGTCCCCTGGGGAAAATTCTGGCAGACTGGTCAACCTATAGCTATCAACCTATGACTAAAAAGAATGAGATTCTATTATAATTCTGTTTGGCCAATGTACATTCTTAAAAGTAAGGAGAAGTGGCCTTTGTGTGGTAGCCTAAATTATTATTCTATTCTTCAGCTAGAATCCTTTTGTCACAGGAATGGAAAGGCTGGGAATTCTCTCCACTCCAGGCTCTCCAAGAGCCAACTCTGGGTTTGTTCTTTTTCAAGAACTGAGCCAAACTGTTTGGAAACCTTTGTCTGGGAGTGGAAGCAGAATTTTTAAACTACACCTCCTCTAATTATCTGTGTGGCCATAGCTGATCTGTCGTCTGTTCTTTTATGTGTATTGTTTTGGGGTGAGCCACTCTGGCTTGCGCAGGGTGGGAAGATTCTACCTGCTCATTGTGGGCCACTTTGAATTCTCTGTCCGGGAGTGGAAATGGAATCTTTGGGCTACGCCTTGTCTGATCTTTTGTTTGTGGGACCATGTTTGTTGTTTGTATGTGTGTGTGTGTCAGTACTTGCACTGACTGGTTGAGACATCTTTTGTGAATAACAGAGCTCACGTGTGACAACATCAGTGTATCCTTCCCTATTGCGTGGGGCTTTGCCTGTGGAGGAATGTTGGTTGGGATTTTCCCTTTTGGACTAGCCTTGTTATAGGTGACCAGAGCTCTGTTCAATCTCTGTACACCCCCTAGGGTATTTTTACAAAACTAGGAGCTCTTCAGCTATGCTCCCATGAAAAGGAATTGGTATTTCTTTCCCCCTGTGCCTAGGTCCTCAGGAACACATGTTATCTAGACCATCTCTAGTTCCTGAGACTGAAGAAAAAGGGCAGGGGAAAGAAGGCCTTATTAAACTCAAGTGGAAAAACTGTGAGATCTCTGGTTCTGTCTTTATGTAGGAGCTAACTTGTAAATGAGCTCTGTTTAATTGACTTAAAAGTAAGAGCTTACAAGTTAAATCTAAATGTCTAAAAAATTGGCCAATATAAATTTTGGACCACACGATCTGGGAAATACTCAGTACTGAATTGATATCTGTTACTGAAGGTAGGTTAAGCTTGTTGGTTTAATTAATATAGACATGTATTTAGAATCATCAGTGTTAAGTAAAGCAAACGAGGTTAAGAGTTTTTAGGTAAACTCTTTATGAATAAGTATTTTAGGAATGTCTACTTAAGAATAATCTCTCCAGATGCTTGGTAACTTAAAATTGTAGAGTTGTGCTAAATTAAGTTAAATGATGGAAGTTTATTGAATAGGTAGGCCATTTCCAAGTAAAATAAGATACTGAAACATTAATTACTGAATACTGGCTTCCCTTTGCAGAGAGACTAAAGGTATGTAGGAACTAAAGGTATTTGGTGCCACCCTGTGATTCTTTATAAGAAAGCACATGTCTGGGACTTCCCTGGTGGTCCAGTGGTTAAGAGTCTACCTTCCAATGCAGGAGATGTGGGTTTGATCCCTGGTCGGGGAACTAAGATCCCACATGCTGTGGGGCAACCAACTAAGCCCACACGCTCTGGAGCCCGCATGCCACAACTAGAGAGAAGCCCCGCACGCCGCAAAGAAGAGCACGCATGCCACAACTAAGACCCGACGCAGCCATAAATAAATGAATGAAGAATATTAAAAAAAAAAGAAAGCACATGTCTTTAGAAATTATTGGTATTTATGTTTATAAATCTACAGAGTGCTGAAGACAATTCACGGTTGCTTAAGGAAAGTAGGTTGTGTGTTTTGAACAAAAGATGGTATGAGGAATGGCACTGCATTTTCCTAAGGAAAAAAAAAAGTGATTTTTGCCCTAGAGCTGGTTGATTTTGAATGGAAAAGGGGCAAAATGTTTACAGAAAGTTGTAGAAGGTCTGCAGAAAAGGAAAAGGAAATTTAGTTGGGTAAATGAATTTTGTTGGGAGTGGGCTGGGACAAGACTGGATTTGGTTTCTTCCTCTAAAGTTTTCTTGAAATACTGCTTTTGATAACAGCTTGTGAGTTCCTTTGCCTTTAAGTGATCTGTATTCACCTTTAAAATCTTTTCACTTTGGTTAAGTAAATAGCATTGTTTGGCAGTTTCTAAAAGTTCTTTTGACCTCCAGCTAACTTTGAGATGCTTCAGAGGGCCCCTGAGGCATTTCAGAGAGAAACATTTAATTAAGATTTGGTATGTAATCAGTTGTAATTCTGGTTATTGTAACCAAGTTTCTTTATCCATTACATTGTAATCAGATGTTTAACTGCATCCTTTAAGTCCTTCTGTCATTTATAGACAGTTATTGTACTCTGATGCTTTCGCAGAAGTGCTTCATCTTCAAGATTTATGCGAAGGACCTTCAGACAAATACAGGTCTCTCATAAATGTCATATCATACCACTGAGCTGGGTCTACTGCTTAAAGCACATGTACAATGCTCGTGTGACAACTGGGTATAAATGATAAAATGTATGTCCTATAAAATGTTTCCTCACTAACATACCTCTGAGCTTGTTCACAATACCTGATCAGTATTCCTCCAGTGTGGATTAACTAGGCAAATATAAAAGAGGCCTAGCATGGAGGGACATGATCTACAACCAGGTCAAACAGCTGTATCACC